ACAAAGTGTCGTCCCATGTGGGGTTTGAACCCACAACACTCGGCGTAGTAGGAAGCGGCGAGGTGACCGCTTAAACCACTACGCCATCCGTGCAGTCCGTGCAATCAATTCTAATATTATAAATTCGTAAGTGTGTTTGTCTGTCCGTCTGTCTGTTAACTCTTCAGGCGTAAACCGCTGAAACGATTTGAATGAAATTTGACAAGATTTAAATGAAGGACATAGGATAGTTTTTATCAAAGAAATCATCCCTTAAGGAGGTGAAAAGGGGTGGAAGTTTGTATGGGGAATCAATAACCGCTAAACTGATTTAGATGACAAAATTCCCTAAAATTGGTTCTAGTTTCTCTGCTACCTGACATTTGGCTAATTTAGACTGCACGGATGACGTAGTAGTTTAAGACGTGTTGTGAGTTCGATCCCCACATGGGACAACGATTTGTGTGATTCACAAATTGTTATTTTTGCTTGTGGGTAAAATCCACCGCAACAAAGGATTTATTTCTAGTGCGGAAGTTGTAAAAAAAAAACTTTATACGCAGATTGAAGTCTGCTCCAAAGGTTTTCTATAGCGTAAAAGCACGTTTTTGGACATATTTTTACTAATTATCTTCTCATTTCCCTACTCATCTATAAAGGCACATTTATAAAGGATCACAATTCGTAAAGGTTGCAAAACAAACGATTAAAATAATGAAAAATAATAATATTATTTAACTAATGAATATAATTTATTATCATTAAACTTTTTATACACGCAAAAGTAAGTTAAAAGAAAGTAAATGTACGCATTATTCATAATTTTTCAATTATGAGGATTTTAAATAAGTGATTGATACAATTAGGATTAACAGTAAGTAAATAATGATAATAAAGCAAGCAAGTGAAAAGATACATCTTCTTATAATTCAAATAACAACATCAAAATTGAATACAAATGAAAATATATGACATGGTATAGATGGGCTCTTGGCTAAGTGGTATCCAAGTGCAGACTTAAGCAATCCTAACCAGGTCAGTCTACGGATGTGAAGTCCCAGTTGCCATACGAACATCTGTGGTAATCGTTGCGGATAGTTGGATCAGTTGGAGCCTTAAGAATTCCGACAACATTCTGTCTACAGAACTTTGCTATCCCCTAGTACTTCGGTTCTGGAGGTCTGATTGCAGTCACTTAGCGTTGAAATCGAAGTGCAGCCGTGTTTTAGTAGACAAAAAGCCGACCCGAGGATAGTATTAGAGGATTATTAGGAGTATTAGAGTAGTAGAGGAGAAGTTAATTTTGTATTATTACGTTTTTAACAAGTACCTACACATATTTAGGTCAATTTATTATAAGAAAACAACACTAACTTGATTTTATTAACAATTTCAGATAGTTGCACATCACTATTTCAGATTTGCAAAAACCAGCAACCCACGATATGTCAAATTTGTGTCAGAGGAAAAAACTATAGGAGATAGCAATATGTTTATAACAGTATGATCTTGAAGGAAAAGTTGTAAAAAAGATAAGCGTTTAAATAACAAAAACACTTTTTTTTTGTCTGGCTGTCTTTTTCCTTGGGTAAGGAATACTGCTATTCTCAGGAGGTAAAAACTAGGACTTGTATAACATATATAACAGCAATAGCATCATTATTAAAGCAACTACTAGCAAGCTCTACTGGTTACAGAATTTATTCGTTTTTAAAGTGTAGCACTAATTATGGTCACGAAATAATTTAGCCAGTCCTCGAACGAACTATTTATAGCCTTCATCATCACTTCCACTCGATAGCGTCACTTTAACTCTCTCTCATATCACGTCTAAAGATGTTTAAACTCCAAAAATACTTCACAAACAACTTTCTAGAAATATTTTACTCGTAAAGGAAAAAGTACAAGAATTCTGAGCTATTTCCAAAGAAAAATAGACGCGTCTTACGGATAATATTTCTGCCGAAGTTCGGTAAATGCTTGAAACTTCTAAGAGGACTTCACAAACTTGGAAATTACGGGTTGCAAGAATGTTTAAAAGCCTACTTTATAAGATCTTAGTATATATCGTATCGGATATAATCTTAGACGTGTACGCCTGGAGTTAGGTTAGATAGATTTATATAATATATTAAGTTTTATTAACAGTACATTTGGGATTATACGGTCGATATTTGTACAGGGATCATTTGTTCTGTGTCTGGGTGTAATTAATATATGTGTATGTATTTAGAAATATTTAAGCATCTTTATCAGCAGTCTGGTTGTCATAGCACAGACTCTGCCTAGTTTGGGATTAGTCAGCCGTTTATAAGATGTGTCAAGTTATTGTTATTATTAAAGTATTTGCATATATACATGCGTGTGGATCCTTTATCAAGAGGTAAAGCGACTTTCCTAAAAGGTATGAAACTAATCTAGTATCTCTGAAATAGGAGAGCGGAAGAGAAGGAAAACTTGAAACAAACCCAATACTAACCCGTCTGGCCCGCGTGGTATAGTAGGCCAAAACCTCCTTTCTAAGAAGAGGCCTAAGTCTAGCAGCGGGCTGTTAAGGGTTGTTGATGATGATTGATGAGACTAAAAATATAAACGACTTCAAGAAAAGGAGGTTTTCAATACAGAAGCATTTTTATTCATGAGCCAATTTTGTAAAAATCTTTTTTTATTTAGGAGGGAATACTTTCATTGGTACTATTAAAATTTGTAAAGAGAAATACATCCCCTCAGGGTCGTAAACCATGAAATGAAGAATACATTTTAATAAAATCTATCACAAATTAACGCATTGAAGTCGGTGAGACTTTTACAAAAAGGAATATGGTTCGTTCATTTTGACCTGACTGCGTATAGTTATTATGCTGTAACTGGACCGATTTGTTCTCAAAATACAAACGATATTTACGAAACAGTTCCAATTTATGATCAACAATGGTTATACTATGAATAGACCACCGCAGCTTCCTGTTTCTGTTGGACTATGAATGCCGAACTGATTACTCAATGAGTCAATTTATAGTAGATCATAGAATTGTAACATATCGTATAGCGAAGTGGTATGTACCAGAATAGCCAAAAAGGTATGTATTCTAGTCTAGTGGTTAGGGGCTGTCTCCACAAGCGAGAAAATCGCAACAAGTCCGCGATTTTTTCGATAGCGTGTCGGTATCACCGCGTGTCCGCAACGACTCATAGCGGCATCGTCACGTTTCCGCGACGAGGCGTTGTATAATATTTAGATGCCATGTGAGAGCGATAATAAACTACAAACTAAACATCATAAACTGCAGGTCTTTCTCTCACTTCAAGTACTGTCAAACTTTGTTTATTCTTTAAAAAACTGTCAATTCGTAATATCCTTGCCTTGCAGACAGGCAACATTTTATTTTATTTTATTTTATTTGGGGAGCTTACAGCTACAGTACAAGTACATCAGTAATTTAGTTGTTGAAAAACCATTAACAAGCTTCCACAGATACACAAGAAACATTCTACTTAAGTTACATTCTAATTAAATTACTAAAGATGTAAATAGATGAAAACAAATTGAAACACATGCAGAACCTAGAGTCAGCTCACACTGCAGTAGTGCAGGCAACACTATCAGCAAATCTGACGGTTAAATAGGATCTAGCACTACCAGTACTTGTACTAAAAAGATCAAAACCACTGTCACTATTTAGCTTGTTCAACTCGGTGAAAACTCTAGGCAGATAGCTATTTTTTCTGAAGTTGGTGTGACTCGACGGAAGATAAAGTAAAGAGTTGTCACGCAATCTTCTAACGGGTGTTCTTAACCTAATCATACTGAGTAGATTAGGGCAATCGATCCTGCCCTGAGCAAGACTGAGCAGGAATACTAGGTCTGAAATATTACGCCTAATATACAAGGGTAGAAGATGTAATGTTACACAGCGTTGCTCATATGTAAGATCGACCAAGTGGCAAAGTTTAAATTTGAAACCCAGGTAAAGAATAAATTTCTTCTGTATTTTCTCAATCTCATTGGAGTAACAACTGTAATATGGGTTCCAAATCTGAACAGCGTATTCCAAGTGACTCCGCACGTAAGCACAGTACAAAACTTTGATAGTTTTCATATTTCTGAAATCACTGGAACAACGGATTATAAAACCCAGTGCTCTAAAAGCCCTGTCAACTATGTGATTCACATGCCTATCAAATAGAAGTTTGGTGTCGTGCACCACGCCCAGATCCCTAAGTACAGTTTTCCTCTCCAATGTATGGCCCTTGATAAAATAATTAGAATGGAGTATTTGACGCTTACGTGTGAAGCTCATGGAGAAACATTTAGAAGCATTGAGGTCCAAGTTATTATAGCAACAGTATGTGTCAAGTCGCTGAAGATCTTCTTGCAATAATTTTGCATCAGTCAAGTTGTTAACTGTCTTAAAAATTTTCATATCATCAGCGAATAAAAGAAAATTGGAATGCATAAAACAGGAACCAATGTCGTTAAGAAAGATAACAAATACGATATTTCAGTGCGGCATTTCTCAGCGACGGCGTTGTAACGTTTAAATTGTTTAATTTTGCCACTTTTAAGACTTCATTTTGAAAATGAAAGGGATGTGGACTTACGCTAGCCTTCCTCCAGAATCATGAATTAAACGTATATTCTAAATACAATTAAAAATGTACGTGTTTTCTTTAACTCCTTATTCAATGGCGTCTTGGGAATTGGATATGCTATCCATTGGCAACAGGTTATACCCATCAACTAGTACACCAACGACTTAACCCACTCCAACATGTGACCCTTGTTATCAGTATTCCAAATAAAAACATAATTTTACTTCGCTAAAACTCAAGGTCAAGGACGACTTAAAACCAAGTACAATAAGTAGAAGAATATCAATAAAAAGTGCCAGAAACTCTACGATCCTAATCTCAGAATAATAGCTTAATTCGACTACATCACCAGACACCTTGTATCCGTTTCAATAAATATCTGTATTAATAAAAAATATAATAATTTAGTTATTTCTTCTTAATATGTCTCAAGGCTCATGTTCAACAAGACACGCATAAAAATACACATGAAACAAATAAATTGAAAAGTTAAATAACGTGAACAATGTATCTTTCCACTCACTTGTTGTGTAACCGAAGTCATCTTCTTCTTCTGGGTCTGCTTCTTTCTCTTCTTTGCTGCGCTTCACTGCGCCGGCTGAAGCACGATCGATCTATGAGACGCAGAAAAGCTTCTTAATGTTTCGCAAAAGGTAATCGCACTACAGATATCTGGCGCGGTTGAAAATCTTCTGCCAAGGAGAACCGCTTGGACAGAAGAGTTAGATAGTATAGACTATTTATATATGTTTAAGTGGAAAGGCTTGTCCTCACTGATGTTGCAGAAGAATTCATTACACTTTAGGTATATCTTAAACTTAATATTTATTGTATTGAACTTCATGTAAAGATTGAAACTTGAATGGCTTCTAGTTCTGTACTAAACAAGTACAAACACCCTTCACTTCAGGTAGTTAAGTAGGTAGTTGGTGTTGAAGTCTTTACAAAATGGCATGCCTCGAAGTTTCCGACAGTAACAATAGAAGAACCATGCTTCGGTACAAATGGGCCGAATTGACCGAAGTGACTTCACAGAAAACCGCTATTAAACAATTCTTTGGTTGCTTTTCACTAAGTAAATGAGGTCACCGGATCCCATAACTCTCCTTTCCCCTATTTCTTCAGCCGTCTGCTCGTCTGCCCAGTATGCCATAAAAAAACTGTTTCATAGGGTATATACCTATATTGAGCAGAATTCTCTTACCTCAACACCTTTATCCGAGTAAGTTCTTCCCTGCAATTCTCTTTCGTCTTCTTCATCACTACTCTCCGAGTCAGAATATACTGGCTTCTTTTCAACAGAATTCGCTTCTTTATTATCTTGTTCATCAGCTGCCTCTTCTGCGTCTTTTTCTACGTCTGCTTCTGATGTTACCGTTATCTGGTGAAGAGAATTACGTTTATATAAAAATACAGCTTTGTGGAGATATTTCAGCTTCATAAGCGCCGTCTACATGAAAAAGGCATATATTTTCTTAAGAGTTTTGCAATTGCACTGTGTATGAAAAAATTTGTGTTACCTTCTTAAATTTTACAATTTCAGTTTGAACTTATTTTGAGAAAATAATCCAGACCTGTCTATATTTTTATTTATTTATACTTTATGCACAAATGTGATAAAGGCGGACTTAATGCCGTAGGCATTTTCTCCCAGTGAACCTTAGGGCGATGCAGAGCTAAAACATTGTAGATGCACAAAATAAATGGAAAATGTGATTTTATGAAAAATATAGCATATATAGAACATCATATACCCAGAGTACTTATATTAATTACATTAGAATAATTTTTAATAAATAATACATATATAATAAGTGATAATAATACTAATACACACAATACATACGTATTTATATAAATACATATGCACCTAAACATACATATAATTATATTACATATATATATATCCACATAACAAATTCTAGAAGCGAAAGTAAAAAAAAATTAAGATGGATCTGATAAGGAGTTTAAAAAATATATCTCTTACCTACCTACCTATATATCTTACCTATCAGAGTAATTTTCTCAAATAAGTCCTAATAATCTTAATATTTAAATCCAATATGCACAGGTATTTTGAGATAATCTAACAGTTGCATTTTTATCATATTTCATTATAACTTTTTTCCAAAGTTTAAAATATAAACTAAACTAAATAAAATGGTTTTTTTTTAACTATATTGTTCTGTAATACTTCTGCCCATCTTTTTTTCTTCTCTTCTGTTTTTGAATATATTTTCGAACATGTTTAGTGCTTTTGTTTGTGACTTTGCTAGTTTAGATGTCAATTCCATCTATGCTTATACTATTCCAGACTATAATCTATCTGTATGTCAAATTTCAATCGAATGCGTTGAGCAATTCTGGTGTAATTAAGTAACAAACTTTCGCATATAATAACAGACACTATATACCTAATATATACTTATAAAAACAGAAAGGTTATTTCCCTAATACAAAAAAAGAAAGTTAAAAATCAACTATTTGAATGGTATATTTACAAAATAAACTGTAAAAATCAACACTTGTATTTACAATGAGTAATAAAAGTACGAAAATAATCTGTCTGAAATACAAGTTCCGCAGACAGCTCAAACACATTAATTTAATGTATTTGGAACTTCGGACTTTTGTTTGACTTTACTTTAAGATTTATAAGTCAATAAACTATGGTTTTTAAATCAAGATTTAAGTAAATTTTACAATGCACGGTGTCTTAATAATTTTCATTAGCCCATAATACACTCTACGGCAATGAATCCGAGTCACATAAATTAATTCGGGTCTAAATTAGATTGCTAGCTTAGTGAAAGTTATGTGAAGTTTTCTTTACATTTATTTCCCTCACTTTCCACACTAAGTAAAATAAATTAATGAATGAGGAACACAGTTTATTATAATTTCATCATGATGTAGGCGGCTGGTATTGACGGAGCTATTGGCCTAATGGATAATGATCCTGGCTGCTCAGCCAGAGGTCGTGGTTTCGATTCCCACCCAAGACAAATAATTGATTTGTGTCTGAACCTTTTAATATGTGTCTGGGGGTAATTTATCTATAAAATGCATATATTTATAAATACGTAAGTATGTTTACCAGCAATAAATCCGAGTTAGGTAGAATAGTACAGGCTCTGCCTATTTGGGTTCAGATGGCCGTGTATGATTATTATCATTCAAATCGGTGATACCTTATAAAAAATAGTTATGTTATATAGAAACTATGACTCACTTTTATCTCATGAGTTGGTGTTTTATCCAGTATTGAAGGCGCTGGAGATTTTCTGGCAGACGGTTTGGGAGTCACAGGAGGCGTTGTTGCTTCTACGTCTGAAGAGTCAGTGTTCTAGTAAAAAGATGATGACAGTCAGTAAGGAAATCTACACGTAGAAAAAGTGATAAAATTTTTAGTCAGGTCTATTTAAGACTTTTTTGTCTAAGGAACATTTTCAGAGGCAATTAATAGAATAGACAAACACACATAATTAGAACTCAGTAAGAATTGTACTTCTAACACAAAAATATGTGAATTTTGACTGATTTCATTTTCTAATTGAATGCAGGTAAACTTGGCTTAGGTAAATCGCTTAATTTCGTGTACCTATACATATTTTTGTCTAAAAAATACAACTCCTGCATTAGGAATGAGTACATTGGTTTTTATAAATAAGTTTTCTCTGAAAGCGACTTCTTTCATACCAGTTTTGGATAACACAAAAGAAGAGAAAAGCATGTGTATTAAGGAATATCAACGAACCCATGCAAGTAGACTCTGTACAGTGAGTGTGACGGTGTCTCCAGCAGACTTGATGAGTTGCACTGCACGCTCGTGCTGCGCAGATCTTACGCAAGTTCCATCAACCTCCAGAATCCTGTCGCCTGTCTGATGACAAAAGAATTACTATTAATTAGATTATCACCACAATCTTCAAATGCTATAGTTAATTGATATATTTTATTAAATCATAAGAATTTTTTGACCAGTTGACCTTTCTACTCACAGGATGTACGTACAGATCCGTGACCTTGAACTCTTCAAACTCTTGCAGTTTCAGTCCCGACTTCCTGCCCAAAACTTTCTGTATTCTTATCCTTGGCTCTCTCAACCTATATGCTTTCCTTACCCTACTTTAGCTCCTCACTTTGTCCTGTCTAAAAAACAGTGCCTTTCCAATGAGGCATATGGCAGGTGACCACCCATATCCTTGAATCCCAGCCATAATATTGGGAAAAGTATTGGAAGGCAATGATTTTGTTGATGAAATTCTTAATTTTTATATAAAACAGCTAGAATAACTAAAATAAACATAGAGATTGTCCGTGTGGTGAAGGATTAATAATACGGAATGTCACCACCCCTATTCATCCCGTGGGTGTCGTAAAAGCCGACTAAGGGAGCAAACTACGCAGGACAAAAGCACTGCAAAAAGAAGGAAAACTTGAAACAAACCCTATACCAACCCGTCTGGCCAGCGTGGTATAGTAGGCCAAAACCTCCTTTCTAAGGAGAGGCCTATGTTCAACAGTGGACAGTTATAGGCTGTTGATGATGATGATGAAACATAGAGATGAGAAGAATTGACAGTATGAATGATATCCTGTTCTAAAGTCGGAATGAACTAAGACGGAGTAGATAAGGTTCATTTCTCAATTGATTTCTTATTGTTTTATTGTACTTTAATTTGAGTCAGTTAGATGTAATTTGGTTTGATCTGGTTTGATTTATTTTGATTAAATCAAATTGGTTTGGTTTAATTCTGATTGTATTTTTTATTTTGGTTGAATTTAAGTTGAATTTGATTCGGTTTGAGTTGATTTAATTTAATATAATGTTTTATGATTATTTATTGTATGTTTTATGTTTATTATTATTAGTGTAATGTTATAAGACTCCTTATTTTCTAGTTTTAGTGAATGTCGTGAAACTCTGTAATAGGCCTAAGAATTTAATTTAATGTAAATATGAATGTATTATGTGAAAAGCTGTTGAGTTTCCTATCAATAAATAAACTTACTTGTAATTGTCCACTGTTTCCCGCAGGACTTTCAGGTACCACATTTTTGATGAATATACCAAATATCGCCTTCTCTTCTCCATCTTCATCTTCATCGTGTGAAATTATATCAACCTGATCAAGCAGAAAATATCATTCACCAATAGCCAATAACTATGTACATTATGAACTTATAATAAATTCTGGATCGCATTCATTATTTTTATTTATTTTTTTTGTTTTTAAAAGACAACTCACGCGCTAGGAATTATATCCTGTGTCGCGAGGGACTTTACGAAAATTCACGAAACGGACAAAACACCTGGACTCAGAATAACAATTTGTGGATCACACAAAATATTGTTGCGTGTGGGCATCGAACCCATAGCACTCAGAGCAGTATGAAGCGGCAAGGTGACCGCTTAAACTACAACGTCATCCGTGCTGCAGTCGATCGTACATTTATCATTTGGCAAACAATCTATTTTGCAAACACATTTTTTGGATCCAAATAAAAGTTACGTTTAAAATTGTTATTATATCCCTTTGTAATCAATAGTTGTAATTAATATTAATAGTTGATGATTATAATACATGTACGCATTTAGAAGTATTTATGTATGTATTACATATGTGATTAAGAGAGTTATATGAAACACTATTAAACAGGACTTTTATATCGTTGTTTATTTAGAAGAAGTCTTTGGTCAGTATTTTTTTTTTAAGCCAAATCACGGTTGTCTCCATGGAATTGATTGCACGGACTGCTGCGCCGAGTGTTGTGGGTTCGAACCCCACATGAGACGACACTTTGTGTGATCCACATATTCTGTCGTTCCTGTTCGTATCCACATCTTCCGTTGCGAGTCTGGGTGTACTTTGTGTCCGTTTCAAGTTAATTTGTAAACTCCCCCGCGCCACAGGATTTATTCCTATTGCGGGAGTTGTCTTTTAAAAAAAAAGAAAATAAAAGAATTTACTCGCAAAAACGAGGTTCTCAATTCAGATGTTTTTTTATGAATGTTATCCGAAATGTTTAATGAAAGAAGAAAATCATTTGGGAAGCGATTTCAATTTACATAATATTTATATAGGTGGGACTCAAAGTTATTCCTATCTAAATTTGAAGATAATATTGTATTAGAATTGAAAATAAAAAAAATATAACTATAATAGTGATGAATATAGCTTATCATTATTCAGAGTCATCATTATTCAGACACACTTAAGTTGTCAATTATTTTTTGTTTTCTATCAACTTATACGTTACATGTACATGATATTTCAGTACATTTTGAAATAATGTTGCTAAAGTTTATTCATTTATGTTTTATTTTTGAATGGCTTTATACATAAATAGCACAATACCTTTCCTCCGACGATGCTGACACCCAGTGGAGCTCCAGGGCATCGCTTGAGCGTGACCTGCCGCGGCGGACCCCAGCGTTGTGCCACCAGGGTCTCGGTGCGACGATCTGATGATACTGTGACGGTCATCGTCGGTAGTGGCACAAAACTGTTAAAAATACCAATGATTTATCTTTAAACAAGCTGCTCAAAATCAAAGAAGATCTCTGAGAAGAAGAGCCATAAATTTATAAGAGAGTGGGGTAACCCATTTTCTCTCTCAGTACATACAACAGGTTGGAGCCATTGTTTCTTTCAACCACTTCCCTTATGGAGAAGAATAAATTTTACTTTCATTGTAGAAGGTCAGTGAAACCTTTTGTAGCTTGCCAGTCCCGTAAACTGTTCTTACCAAAGTAATTTTGGAGATTTCTAACGCATCATGATCTACGTCAGACCAAACCAAAACTCACAAGAAAATTAAAACAGCATTCTGTTTCTTGCAAGAGTATAGCTTAGAGCTTTATGGGAGTACCTATTATAATAATAATAATACGGCCGTGTGTGGGATGTGTGATGTATAATAATAATACACCACACATCCCACACACGGCCGTCTGATCCCAAACTAGGCAGGCCTGTGCTATGGTAACCAGACTGCTGATAAACATACTTAAATATTTAAATACATACATATTATAGATAAATTACACCCAGACACAGAACCAATGAGCGTGTTCATCATCATCATTATCATCAACAGCCTTTAGTAAGACTCGGAACAACAATTTGGTGATCACACAAAGTGTCGTCCCATGTGTGGTTTGAACCCACAACACGCGGTGTAGTAGTGAGCGGCGTGGCGACTGCTTAAACCACTACGCCATCCGTGCAGTCAATACTTGCAATAACTGATGGTTTCAAAACGTCATACACATCCCGCTTTGAGTGACAATCACGTAACGCATGTAGATAACGACGTGGTAACTAATCTCAATTGGATAAGTGTCCAGGGAACAATTGCGAATGTCACGATATAACCTGCAGCGGTCACATATTCTAGTGGATTGAAGAGTTCATTTTACTATTACGTACCTACATGTAGCTTGAACATAGTTATGTCTTTTGCCATTGTTAAACATTATTTTACTTATATTTTTGCCACTAAAGTAGTAGCATTACAACCAGATGCTATCAGAACCCCGTCTGTTTGGGTAAATCTTTATTTATTATCATAATTGTCGATTCGTTCGAAGAAAGAGCGAGTTTATCCTACAGCGTCCATTAACATAAATTTTATTTATTTTATAACATTCTGGTTTTTTTACTTTAAGTAAGCTACTAAATAATTTCAGTTAACCACCCCAATTTATCCCGTCGGTGTCGTGAAAGCCGACTAAGGGAGCAAACTACGCATGACAACAGCACTGCAAAGAGAAGGATAACTTGAAACAAACGCTATACCAACCCGTCTGGCCACCGTGGTATAGTAGGCCAAAACCTCCTTCCTAAGGAGAGGCCTATGTCCAGCAGTGGACTATTATGGGTTGTTGCTGATGATGATGATGAGTGCTTGTTAGGCCGTGTTATGAAAAAATAAAATTATAAAAAAAGAAATAAAAAAAAATTAAAATAAGAAAATAAAAATTAAAAAAATATTAAAATAAATAAATCATCTCCTTATAATTTGAAAATATATTGCGTTTTTGAGGAAATGATTTTTTATTTTTTTATTTAAATAATTTATTTGAATAATTTATTTATTTTAATAATTTGACTGATGACAGTGGCTTGGCGTGAACATAATATAGCAGAATTGAGGCCCAGACAGGTAGACAGACATCCCGAAACTATAAAAGTTCCTCATTAGGAGCACGGAACCCTAATTAGATATCGTATCTCATAAATTTACATAATCAGAAAGAGCCCTGATAATCTCACTTGCACTGTACTTCAACGCCGGTCGGATCCCATCTGATTGATTTTGGATCTCCTCATAACAACTGTTATTCGACAAGCTAAAGTCAGAGTAAACCTCCTTTTCAAGAGAAACCATATCCACTAGTGGCCTGTAATAGGCTTTAAATGAAAGTCAGAGTGAGCTGAAAGAACCTAGTAGAAACATCCACGACGGAGTATCAAATCAGACACGTACTCCAGTAATTAAAGAATGCAACTTAAAAGAAAAATCTTGTAAATATGTTCGGGGTGAATTCTCATCTAAAAAGACTACATAACCGGACTCAGTGACTCGTGAAACGGGAACAGCCGGAGTTGCACTGTATTAAACAGCATAGGTAAGCTAACAAAGGCCCGCCCCCGCTCAATGGACTGTGTTATTAAAATATGGTGTTCATATCAAACGAATTAAAGTGGGTCGCATACCCCACTTGCCAATACCTGTGTATTGTACTGTTGAGTACAAAAGTGAGAATACATTTTAATATTCTATATTGGAAAGTGTGTATCTGTTTATATTACGAGTCGTTAGTGTTTCAAAGTACTGAGCCAAAATTCGAAGATTTTATTCTTATTCAGAAAAAAAAAAGTGATCGGTTGTTCTGTAACTGTACTGTATGTATGTATTTAGAAATATTTAGTATTTTTATCAGCAATTTGGTTACCATAACACGGGCGCTGACTAGTTCGATATCAACTGGTCATGTCTGTTGTATCATAAGTAATTTTTATAATCCTATTATTATTTTTAAATAATTACTAAGTTTAGTTTCGATTAGATGTCATCACCTGATCCGTTAATAATAATTTTAATATATCGTTAATATGGCGGCTCAATGCAACGGGTACGTGAAAAGAGTAATGACACACATTTTTTGGTAGAAATAGAACCGACAATAGGTGAAGTATCATCACCCCACAGAAGGAAAGCGTTGTATAGTAGGTACTATACAACTGCAGACAATTTGAATTTGGTCACCAATGGTGTTTAAACCTATAAGTTAAGACGCATAAGTATGTTGCTACTCCCTCAGTGTCCCTTCTTCCCAGGAATAGTGCCAGTACCCCCCGGAAGGACTCTGGTAACACTTACTTAAAGAAAAGCAACGACATGCTTGATTAATTGATAAACAGCGCTTTTCTTTGAGTCCATGGTATTATTCTGGTCGATTCAGTCCATATATGCCGAAGCTGAGCTCTCACACGGCAACATTTTTTCAATCTAAATTATAAATTCAATTTTATTTTACTTATTTCTAAATTAATATTCAGTTACACTAATCTTACTGGCAGTTTGAGAGGATAGGATGTTTAAACAAATTAACAATCAAATAAAATACCCTTTAGCTTGATTATATCAGAGTATAGATCTAAACTAAGACGAGAAATTATTCAGAAATTTTAAAACTATACGCGCTAGAATAATGAACAACGCTGTAAGGGACTGTACTCGATTCATTCGAATCAATCACGTTGCCAGGCGGCGATCACGGGGCGTGGATACAATCATGATGTGCATATTTCCGATTAACGTGCTTATAGTTAAACATTGTTCATTTGAACAATTGTGAATTACTTAGGACGTTATTACGTATTACTTGGGGCCTCCTGAAAGTTTCTGTCAGAGCATCTGTTCCCCTCTAATAAATCTTTGCATGTCGAAAGAACAGGTATATATGTTTGGACGTATCTTTGTAAGGAAAGCAGTTGACACCAAGTACAAAAATAATCAAAAGGAAGGAAAGATTTAGTCTCATATGTTAATCTTTATTTATATTTATTTTGAGTGGTACTAGTTATTGAATACATGTTAACACCATGATGTACTTGTCAATATATTACCATAGATTTATATAATACTGTTTTAAGTAATAACTTTGATATAATTTGCCTGTGTGAAACTTGGCTTAATGAAACGATATTGTCTTCTGAATTGTTTGATGACAGGTATTGTGTGATGCGTTGGGATCAAGATGCCAGGTTCCGCGCTCAGTATGTTAAAAGCCATGGTGGGGGTTTACTTGTCGCATATTTAAAGGAACTTCAAATTTCAATTAAAAGCGAATGGTTTTATGAATGCTTGGAGAATCTTTGAATGCAAGTGGGGGTGAGTGGCTCTCGCATCAATAATTTGTGTGTTGCTTTCCTTCCTGAGTATTTGCCTGTCGATGTCGATTGTGACTATTTCACCAAGTGCTACACCATATTTAATAGTTCATCGAATCACATGACTTGTGTTTTGGGTGATAACAATCTTGGGGATATCATGTGGTCGAGTGAAACAGGATGCCCTTTAAACTGTAACTGTGAAAAGTCTAAATCCTTACATGACCTCTTTCACTCGGTAATGATACGGCAGCTCAATTTTATTGGAAGCCACAATAACCGGATACTTGATTTAGTTTTTACTGATTGCCCGGATTTATTGAGTGTGACACCTACATTGCCCATTCGTCGCGTTGGCTTGCATCATCCGCCATTTGAACTTGTATTGACAACTGTTGTCGCTACACAGTCACGCTACACTAACACAGAACACATCACTTACAAAGTTATTTTTTTATGTTTGAGGAGCAGACGAACGGACGGGTCACCTGATGGAAAGTGCCTATCGCCGCCCATTAACGTTTGCAACTCAGGAGTCACAAACGCGTTGCCGGCCTTTTAGAAAGGAGTATGTTCTTTACGCTTAGCCTCTTTCGTCTCTAAAAACCGTAAAACAGATTACGAGAGCTATAAATGGGACCTAGAAATTATTGATTGGAAGAAACATGCGTCGAAATTAGGATGAAATGAATTTGTTCAACTTTTTGTAATAAAATATACACAATAATTGAAAAATATACCCCCAAAACTAAAAATCCTAATAATAGGTATTCCAGCTGGTTTTCGAATGATTTAATTAAGTTACTTGCATCCAAAAGGGAAGCATATAGAAAGGTTCAAACGTTATAGAAACACCAGAGATTACGATTTGTATTAGATGCGAACATCCCAAGTTAAGATTGTTGTAAAACAGTGCTTCAAAAATATATTGAGCAAATTTAATGTGATCATAGGGTCAATATAAAGTCTTTTTGGCGCTACACAAAAGCAAGCGTGTCACCAATAGCATTCCTAGTCGCGTATATTATCAGTATACGGTTTGTAGCATAGGTAGTGATATTGTCAACCTATTTGAAAGTTATTTTTCATCAGTTTATCACCCCA